TCAAAGACGATGACGATAACGGTAATGATGGCGAGATGATGCAGAATAAATATTTATTGTCGTGTGTTGAAATATCAAAGATATTTGTAAATATTAATTTATTAAAGTGTAACGTATGGATAACACCAATGGCTTATATAGCCCCCTTTTTTGTGTATAAACCAGACACACCCCACGATAACTCTATTCCTAACGCTCGAAGCGTCAGCTTTGAAATTCTTTACCAGGGCCGTAGCCAAACTTCAGAACAAGACGAGGCAAGTTTCGAGCGCCAAAGGCGCGAGCCGCTCACGGGAGGTCTGGGGGCATGCCGCCCCAGAAAATTTTGAAATCTAGAGGTTCAGAAATGCTCTTTTACGCATTTTCCGTGGCATTTTTCTTCAGAAAAGTCAATCTCTCAATTGCTTCGTCTTGCCTCATGCCGGCCAATTTACATTATCCACTCAGTCGATAAAACCAAATTATTTAGCAAATAAGATAATTTGATATTATCAACTGAGTTGATAATGTAAATTGGCCTCCATCGAGAGTCTCAAAGCTGACGTTTCGAGCGTTAGCCCTTCGCCATTCGCTCTGACGAAGGGTTAGCGCTCGAAACGCCAGCTTAAAAACTCTCTACGGTGGCCATTGTACATTATCAACTCAGGTAATAAAACCAAATTCTCTTGTTATACTCACCCACCGACGCAGCACCACAGTTTCTTTACAAACTTTCCCCCTTTTGTTTACTTAGTAACTGGCCCTCAGCAGCAAACTTCTTTGGAAACTTACCTCGGTCCCTCTTTCCTTTGCTTACATTTGTTTCCTATATCAGATTTACGTGAGCGTTCCTTTTTTGCCCATATTTTGTTTGTTTTTGTGCGGGAAATAATTGGTGCGGGAAATAATTGGTGCGTGCCCTGCTCGACGTTAAGCCGCTGGTATCCATGTCAGTTGTATTGGCGGCTCGTAAACCCTAAACTATAACAGAGATCAGCGGATTTATTGAATGGGTATGTAATTCATGTCAAGAGTGTCAACAGGAATCAACTTTGTTACATAATAACCCGAGTCATGGACTCGAAGCGTAAAATGAAACGATCTGGAAATATTCAAGAACCAAGTAGCATTACAGATGGCAGTGAGTCTGGAAGTATGTTGTTACGGGTTCAACATGCTCAGTCGTTGCTCACAGCCCTAGAAAACATGCGAAGACAGGAAGAACTGTGCGATGTGGAACTCGTGGTGGCCGGTAGAGAAATCAAAGCACATCGCGTTATTCTAGCCGCTGTGAGTCCTTATTTCAATGCCATGTTTACGAGTGATGTTGTAGAAAGCAAACAGAAGGTCGTGCATTTAAACGATCTGGAGCCTTTGGCAGTTCAGACGGCGGTGGAATTTGCTTACGTAGCTAGAGTCAACATAACGGTTGACAATGTCCAGTCACTTTTGACTGTCGCGACTTTGCTGCAAATGGACACTTTGACGGAAAAGTGTTGCTATTTTTTAGAGAATGAACTCCATCCTTCAAACTGTCTCGGTATACGGCGTTTTTCCGAGAATCACGGCTGCTTTATGCTCAGCAAAACAGCCTACGAGTATGCTTTGCGGAATTTCAACCACACTACACAAATGGAAGAGTTCTTTCAATGTCCTTTAGAGGAAGTTCTTAAACTACTGAATGAGGACTCTCTGTATGTGCGGCACGAGGAAGAAGTGTACGAGGCTGCTTTACGATGGGTGAACTATAAGAAACACGAAAGACTCAAGGCAGTTCCCCAAATAGCTGAGACGATCAGGTTCCCCTTGATGGCTTGGGAGTTCCTTGTAACAAAGGTATTGGATGATGGATTTATCGCCAGCAAAGGCGACAGCTGTCATCTATTTGAGGAGGCCAGGATGTACCATCTATGTCCTCAGTTGCGAAGTGACATAAAATGTGGCAGCCGATTTCGGCCACGGAAATTGTATGGTCAGGCAGAGTGGATATATGTTATGGGTGGGGAAATTAATCCTGGTGAGCATAAAATTAATTTTCAGCCCTAGTGTGAAAAAAAAAAGAGTTGAAGTGAAAATTTTGTTTGCATAATTTTTGATGCCTCTTTGCCAGCTTATATGGATGTTGCAAAAAAGTTTTCTTTTGAATTATGGTGAAAGTTATAAACTTCAAACTCATTTAAGTTGTCTGTTCATGGTGCCCTACCAGTTTAAGCAAATGTTTTGTATATGGGGTTAGTTTTTAAACATCTGTAGAGCTGTGTTGAAGTGGGGAGGGAGAATCTTGCAAGTTGATTTGGTTTCATCCACTGGGTTGATAATGTAAATTAGCCAATGTAGAAAATTTCTAAAGCTGATGTCAGAAGATTAATACTCAAACATTAGCTTTAAAGACTCTTTATGGTGGCCAATTTCATTAACAACTTGGTAAGAGGGTGCTTAATCAAGGGAGAAGGGGATGCACTTATTATTTCTCCTGTGCTGATTCCACTTTAGTTGAAGCTTCAAAAGGTAGAAATTTTGAGGTAATATAAATGGCTTATCCTTGGATCCCTACTGTTTAAGAAAGTGAGGGTGGAGGGGGGTGTTTACTCAAGAAAGGCACTTGTTGACATTTCAGCTAGGGGGGTGGGGGTGGTGCTTATTAGAGCATGGGTGCATATTCAAGGAAATAAGGTAACTTCAGGGGCACTTAAATGCCACCTTATCTCCTACAATGCTATGCTTTTAATCAATTTACTTTACGTAGTCTGTGTATTTTGGTTTTTATTATTGTTCTGTTAAAAATTTCTTATCTTGATTTATTAATTATGGCTACTACCCAATGACAATTTTAAGGGCGATGCACCGTGAGAACTGTGGAAAAGTACAACCCCACATCAAACACATGGTGTGAAGTATCATCAATGTCAACCCCTCGCCGAGGATTGGCTGCAGCTATTTTAGATGGTATTCTGTATGTTGTTGGTGGATCAGATGGCATAGCTGCCTTGAATCAGGTATTGATCATCATTATTAGCCAGTTTTTGTATGTATAAGGGTGGCTAACAGTACATTGAAAAGGCTTTGATCTTGCTGAATTGTAATACAATTTAATTTTATTGCGATCTCAAATTTTGGTCAGTCTTTGTGATATGTCTTAAAACTTCATTTTTTTAGTGCATTTTATTTTGGTCTTGGAGTTATTAAATAGGCAATTTTCTTTACTTAAACATGTCACTCCTCTCATTCAAAGGGTTGATTATCTTCAGTCCCTCCCCCCCCCCTCCATCATATCCTTCTGTCTCCCTTTTCTTAACCTGGTTGTCACTGGCATTCCTTCCCAAAGCTTCCTTTTCGTTGCATTTCTTTATTTCTTCCTTCTCGTGCATAACAAATCTCTCACAGGTAGAACAGTATGATCCAAACTCTGACAAATGGTCTCCTACTACAAGTATGATTGAACACAGAAGTAGTGTGGGGATAGGGGTTCTTGATGGCTTTCTTTATGCAGTAGGAGGGTATAATGGACAAGTCACTGTTAACACAGCTGAGAGATATAATCCACGAACTGGAGAATGGAACATGATCACTGAGATGAACACAGTACGCAGCATGCTTGGAGTGGCATCCCTGAATGGTCAGCTTTATGCCATTGGTAGGTTGATCCAGTATTCAGAGAGATCAATATCTGACAAACGCTTGAAGAAAACTTAATGAAGATCTGTAAAAAACATTTTCCTCAGAAGATATGGGAAGAAGACTGGGGAAGGTTGTTTGAACCCTGAATAGGATTTATCTAGGGCTAGCTGCTTGCAAAAAGCTTTATGTTATCATGAAAGCTTTTCCTGAAAATACATGAAGTATCAATCTTGCTGCAAAAATCCCTGGTCTTGAGTTATGAAATAAATCTCTATTAACTGTTATGTACTGGCTGGTAGCTGTGCTAGTTAGCTCCTGGTTGAAGATAAGCATTTTACTAAGTTTTATGTTCCTATTGATCCAAGCCTGTGAGCAGGCACTAACTTTTGATTCCACACAAGCATTTTGTTGCCCTTGGGAAATTACGAGGCATTTAGCAATGTGAACTGGCAAGAGGTTTGCAAGGAGTCTAGGAGTGTGATTTCCTTGTTTTCCATGTCCTTGCCAAGCCACATATGCTGGTAAATTTTGATACATTTTTCAACAAGTTTCATTTGTATTTTTAAGGTGGCTATGATGGTGTGACAGACCTCTCCTCTGTAGAGTTTTATAGCAATCAAACCAACCAGTGGCAGGTAGTGTCATCCATGAAGACTCCACGTTCTATGGCGGGTGTGACAGTTTTAAATGATGTTTTGTTTGCTGTGGGTGGATGCAATGGTCGGAGTTTAGAAAGTGTTGAAATCTATACACCCGAGACTGACACCTGGATGATAATTGCTCCCATGAAAGAGCCTCGTAGTGGTGTGGGGACAGCTGTTATTGATGGTCTGTTGTATGTTCTTGGTGGTTATAATGGAACAGATTATCTTAATAGTGTGGAGGTTTTTCATCCTCAGAAAAAGCGATGGACCTCAGCAACAAGTATGAAAACAAATAGAAGACGATTTGGCTGTTGTTCATAGCTTGCTTAGACCACAGAAGTGTTTACTTTGATTGATCATCTCATTTTTTTAAATTTTAAAAGAAATCTAAGTGAACTGCATGGGCCCAGTTGTTTTTCAATCTACAGTATTAAGGGCTAACTGATGCTGCAAAGATGTTCTGTTAGTTTTTCAAATGGACAACTCTGATTTAACTCTTTCAAGCACTAGTCCTGATCGAGTTGTAATACACCTGGTTGTAGGAAACAATAAATGGCTCTGATAAGTCAGGATTTTTGTTTGCAACACTCAATCTTCTCATATTACACCCACTGTCAAATTATTCAAAGGAATGGTAGGAGAAAAGGACACAAGCAACAGGGAGAGGACAGCTCTAATTTCACTTCATTTTAGATTTCATGTTAAAAAATTGAAAAATTGAAAATAACAAAACAACAACCAAAATAAAAACTCAAGAAAAAAGTTAAGTGCTTCTTTAATTGTACTCAAACTACGACTCTTATGGTCTTTACATTAAAAAACAAATTAAGTGTTACAAATGGATTGTTAAAATGTCTGCTGTTGTTTTATGACAAACAAGAATCATTTATGAATTATCACCATAACTTTGAAAGTCCAGGAAAGTATTCATGAATCCTAGAGACTTGGCTCACATTACTTGTAAATTAATGAAGAATCCTTTAGTATCAATTGGGGATACTCTTTTATGGAACAACAAGTTCTAAGAACTAACAAGAAATTTCTAGCAGATAGTAAAGGTAAAAGATATTGGGGTCTTGGCAGTAAAAAGGATGATTCCCAGAAGTAAATGAAATCTGGATCCTCTTTGTAATATTCATGATCAGCATTATCCAGCTCACAGGTGAAAATAGACAGTAACTTAGCGACTAGACGGTGTTCTCTTGTTTAGCCAAAAAATTCTCTCACAAAGTCAAAAGAAAAAATATAGAGAAGCACAGCTTAAGGATAACTTACTAAAATCAAAATTCTTGCAACTAATTTACAAGGAAATGTGTGGCAGCTGAAGTTGAGAATTAACAATCAGATCTTGGGAGTTACAGGGTTAACACTATTTTCCTAAAACAAAAGGTATTTCAAAGAAAGAACCCTATAAGTATAAGGTTTTGAGGGATAAACTTGAGGTTTCAAACAGTGTATAAATGCATGTTTACCATTCTTCACCTTTGAAGTAAAAACTGACTCAACAATAATTTGGTATTTGTTCCACAAACATTCACTCATTAGTATTCCTGCCTCTTCTCACGCCAATAATATGATTCTCACACCTGTGGATTGAAAAACCTGATTTCACACCAACATGCCTGAGTACCCAAATCTGAATGCCTAGCAGAAAAAATCAAGGTAGTTCTGTACATTACTGAAAATGTCTCTCATGATATAAACTTAAATCAGTATCAAAGGAGATAAAATCATACAAATGATTGTAAATAACGTTAGTGCTAGAAAGTAAACAGCACCAGTTCACGTTTGCATCAACCCTGTAAGGGCATCCTCAAAAGTTTCCAAGTCTTTGCATTTGTAGAAAACATCTTCAGAAATTTCTAGGTATCACAGATCTGATCAGGTTTTCTTTGAGAATGATGGCAATCTGAGGATAAACATCTTGGAAAAAGAAAAAGGTAACTGATAAGGTAAAGTGAAACTTTCAACAAGACCTGCTTCACTGCAGTAACATCAATATAAAACGAACTAGAGGAAATTTCAAGTGATCTATGAAAATAAAATGAGAAATTGTCTGATCAAATTAGAATGTTATTTTAATACACTATGTATGCCATGTCTTCAAGTTCATCAGTATTAATCTTTCTTTTTAAGTTGCGCTGATAGCCAGTCAAGTCCTTCATAAAGACCATCTCCACTTGTTGCACATGTAGCTTGGATGTACCATGTACGATTTCTCAAGCCGTGTAAACCCAGCTTGTCCGTAATTTCGGCTGCTTGCATCGCATTGGGCAAATCCTGTAAAGAAAAAATATATTAAGTTGAACAACAGGAGAAATGAATAACAAGACCTTGCGAGATGATTTATAAAATGTATTGTGGAATCTTACGCGGATATGCAGAATGTCACGGATAGCAAGAAGGAAGAGGAAATTACGAGTTCAAGGTTAAACTAAACACCACGCCTGAGAAAAAATTGGTCACGACAGTTCTCATCTTATATCTGAATGAAATCAACTCCAGAGTTCTTTCCATGTCTTTGTTTGCTGATATCGGTACTTATCCAAGAACTCTAAACTCTATACGAATCCTTAAATTCAAATCACTTTTTTACTTCGACAGTGTAAGAAAGTAAATTAAAAAGAGCAAGAAAACTCCATTATGGCACAGTAGGAGGGGTGAACTGTCACAAATACCACAGCCTAGTTTCTCATAAGATCATGGGCCTCGTAAATTTAAGATGACAATAATAAACAGGAGCGCAAGAAAAAAGCACGGCTACGAAAGGTCGCTCAAGGTACCTGTTTGTTCGCAAAGACAAGAAGAGTAGCATCTCTAAGTTCATCTTCACCCAACATCCTGTTCAATTCGTCTCTTGCTTCGCCAACTCGCTCACGATCATTGCTATCCACAACAAATATTAGACCTAACAAGAGGAAAGCAACATAGAGATCGATAACTAGAACATACCATACGAACAATAAACCAAAGATCAACGCAAGAAACTGCTTGATGACGATATTGCACAACATTTCGAACCGGCAAATGTACGGTACCTTGTGTATTTTGAAAGTAGTGTCGCCAAAGAGGTCTGATCTTGTCTTGGCCGCCAACGTCCCAAACTGTAAAGCTTATGTTCTTGTATTCTACTGTTTCCACGTTAAAACCTATGAAATTAAGTTTACGAATATCTCAAATACCAGAATCCACTTATCCATAAAAATTTACGCTATTGCGCGAACTGTCATGGCGTCCCGAAGCATCTCTTTGTACATACCAATTGTTGGAATCGTTGTGACGATTTCTCCGAGTTTAAGCTTGTAGAGGATGGTCGTTTTCCCAGCGGCATCAAGACCGACCATGAGAATTCTCATCTCCTTCTTGCCGAAGAGACCGGAGAACAGTTTGCCAAACACACTTCCCATGTTTCACAGTTGATCGCTCCTAGAAACCAAATCTGAAAACGCGAGAAAATATTTAGAAAAGGCAAGTCGGTAAAAGCTCTTGAGTGGTTTGATGCCACTCCTTGACAACAGGCATTTCTCTTGAAAGATCTAAGACTAGCAAGAACAGATATATTTCAAACCAGTTCGCAAAAAACCGTAGACAAATTCTTACCACGTCGCCGCTTCAAACGCGTCCAACTGCCTACCTCGTTCCCAGAATCCTCGTCTCTTCTAGGAACGAGGCTCGATTTCCGCTACAGCGTTCGAGATCACTTCCGGTCACCAGCAACTTCTTTAGAGGAACAAAGCTGTTCAGTAATAAACCATGGATACTCACAAAATGTGATAAAAACCCAAAAAAAGCAGTACAGGAGGGACAGCTGAGTGTGTCACTGTTATCCTCATCATATTTTGACGTCTTTTGAGATTTATTTAACAAATTGCTTAATTTTTTCAACTGTGGTGATAATTGTAAACGTTTCGAGCGTTAGCGTTCGTCGGAGCGCCGGAATGCTAACGCTTGAAACACCAGCTTTAGAATCTATTTACGGTGGCCAATTTACCATTGTCAACTCAGCGACGCAGCACTACAGTTTCTTTAGAAACTTAGCCCCTTAAAAAGTAAATCTCTTGAGTGGTTCAGTTTAGACTTTAGACTACTTACCTGAATTCGTTTTCATACTATACATCTATACATATATACATATATATATATGAATTATTTCATATAAACTTCACATATATATATATGTATGTATGTATGTGTATATATATACATACATACATATATGGTGCAATAGTGCATTAGTGATAGAACTTTAGCAAAAGAAAAGTTGCTGAGATAATAAAATGCCTTCTATCGCTAAATGCCCTCTGAGCAGTTAATGTTATTGATTACACAAAAAATTTATATTTCTATGAAAATAAAGCGGCGCTGAAACAATTAACTAATGAATGTGCAATGAGGCATGACATCAGAACCATTGGATGGATCTTCATTTCCGGCCCTATTAAAATGACTTTGCCCAAGGATTATTATGTGCATGACTACAAGTTCACCCATATAAATTTGTTTTTTCAGTTGTGATGATAGCCAGTCAAGTCCTTCACATAAACCATCTCCAATGGTTGCACATGTAACTTGAATGTATGGTGCGATTTCTTAAAGCTGTGTAGGCTAATCTTGTCCGCTTTTTCAACGGCATTCGTTGCATTAGGTAAACCCTGCAAATTGGAAATTTTCTCCATTTACGAGTCTGAATTTAACCCTCATACTAAAACCCGAAATACTCTGTTAGCCCTAAAATAAATAAACATCTCACATATTCTTCGACGGGAGAGGGAAATTTTGAAATCTGACATTGGAAACTCATATCTTCCCAATTTTCGTTTCTGATGGAACATGAAGTGCCAATTACGTAAATTTTCAACCCAAAAAAGAAAATGATTTAGTCAGCAGATAGCCTTAATCTTTTCACTTAATGTGCAACGAGAAAAGCGGTGTTCTCTTCTAGAGAGTAGAGTAATTTTGTCGAATGAAAAAGTTGGACAATTGAATAAAATGTGTCAACCCAATTATTGCTGAGGGTTGATCCACAAAAAGGATAACAAGTTTGGTTCAAAGAGAGTAAAATTTTAAAGCAGGGTTCATTCATCATGTCTGAAATAAGAATTAACAGCAAAACAGTAATTTTCAGTTGTATTTGTTAAACAAACTGTCATTTATAAACCTGTCACTTCTGGCTTCTATGTATGAGTCTCCCAGTAGTACATACCTTCTGACCAAATCCTCTGCATGCCTGCCAGAAAAGCCCTTCAGTGATCTGATGACACTCCCCAACTTGTCGATAGATTTTGATATCGTCAGCAAATAACTTGGCGGTAGATGTGATGATGTTAGGTATGTCATTCACGTAAATGAGGAACATAATCGGCCCCAGTATTGAGCCTTAAGGGACGCCAGATATAACTGGCGACCATTCGGAATACGATCCACGTATCTGTCCTCTTTGTTTTCGGTTGGTTAAAAATTCCTAAACCACAGGTGCAGTTTCCCGTCTATACCGTACCTATTGAGCTTTAAAAGCAGGCGCTCTTGGGGGACACTGTTAAACGATTTTGAAAGGTCCAGAAATATTACATCAGACATTTTCGACGAATTTCTTGATAAGCACCAATGGTTATAACAGCTTACAAGTTACGACACTGCCGATCTGCCTTAGTTTTAAGCCATTTCTAGATAAGTGGAGCTTATATCAAGCTGTCAGTTAAAGTCATCACTCGATAAGCTGTCAATAAAATTCTGTTGCAGACTATAAGTCACCAATATCATGATATGCGTAGGGAGTCGTCCCTCAAGCATGGACTTGATGTATCTCTTGTCAACTTTGATTTCCATGCAAGACTTTGAAGTCTTCGTCAGCTTTAGAAGCGGGAAAGGACTGTTCTACGGTAGAGACTTTAGTCAAGAACAAAGTGTGAGAAAGAAAAAGAAGAAAAATAAAAGGATAATATTTCAGGACTGGACGCTGAGTGATGAAGGAAACACTACAGCATGCAGCACTATCTCTGTACCGCCTACCATTCGACCAATGCTTATGATGGAGGAACGTGCAATTTCAAACAGGAAATAAAGCTCTTACACAGACCAAAGGCGACTATTACATGGTGTCACGAGCGATGATGGAATAGACAGACTACAGATAGAGAACTGGACATTTTTCGAATAGAGCTGGTGTACCACAAGATCACCACAGAACTTAGACACCGATGGAAACGGATTGTCCAAAGATGCGATATTACAAAATGGAGCTGAAAGAACTTGCAATTTCAAACAACAAATAAAGCTCTTTCGCAAACTACAGACGACTATTACATGGTGTCAGGAAAGATGCTTTACGTAGCTTTTTTTCAAGTTGGATTTCCAAGAATGAATCTGAAGTCCTCCTCAGTAGAACATGACGTGGCAAAAAACAAAGACGAAAAGGATAACACTACGAGACTGAACGTTACATGATAAAAGTCAAGTAATCTCAATGGGGTGATGGCTTTTTTTATCACCGTTAACGTTTAAATGTTTTTCCAGTTTACTTTTACGGCTATCAGTTCATTTCTTTCCGTTAAAGCTAGCAAATAATTTTCAGGTGAACTATTCTTACGTCTAACGGATAGAATTTATCAATTCTTACGCGTACCGGCTTATTTTTTCCGTCATTTTACGGCAAATGGTTAACTCCATTGAGACTCTCTAGTAGCAGTACCGTCTGCCTACTACCACACACCCTTTGCCAACGATGGTTAATAATAATTAACAACTCGATGAGCTGTTAGTAAAGCTGTGTTGCGGACTACAAATGACAGTCACAAACACGTCCAACCGCCAATCTCGCTCTCACAACCCACCCTGATCGTCTTAGGAGCGGGGCTTGATTTCCGCCACTCTCGATTTCATTAGGAACACGCCCAAACACCGTGAGCGGCTGGTTGTCGAGTCTGAAGTAGTGCACAGGTGATCTCCATACTTTAGAGGTTTTGTTTACTATGGTATTTTGCAGGCTCTCCTGATCAATAGTGAATCCCAACCGGCCATTTAGCAACAGCTGGTCACGTGACCTAAGAATTGTTGCCGCACATTAACCTGAAGAGTTCAAGACACCTTGACTTCTTAGTTAATTTAGCCTCAATGCGATTTTTTTGTCGACCACTCAAAGGCTACGATCCTTAAAATGACGTCTACACGTTTCCGTCTGCTACAAACTACGGACTTTAGTCAAATGACACAACAGCGGTTTTCTAAGTAGTTCTTCTTCGAAGCCTAGGGGCCGAAATACAAACCGAAAAGTTCATATCCCCCTTTACAAATGCAAAGTGGGTGGTTCTGACTCTACTAGGTATTCCCTGGGATATCGAAACATTTTTTAGACATGCATTTGATAGAGATAAGTTGGTTACATGACTAATATTTGTAGTGCACGCAGTCACCTGGTGGCTAACATGACTATTAAACACAAATCTCCAAAAAGAATTTTATTAGAATTTGCTTGCACTTGTCTTCAACGCAAGACACTAGCTCTGTAAGATATCAGTTGAAAGTATTTTTTAATATTACTATTAGACAGACACAGAGAAATAAGAGTAATCTTGAAAAACCCTTCAACAACAACAGCCATTTTTCTTAAGTAAACCCTTAGTGCTGCTCTAACATACCAAGTTCAAGCCTCTCCAGAGAACACATCGCTTCAGTATTGGCAACTCATTTTGGATCTTTGATGACTTTGTGTACACCTTAGCAAATACTTGTCACCAGAAAAACTCTCACAGGAAAATGCAAAGCAATAGAGTACATGTATGTACAGTAATCTCATACTAGCTCACTGTATATTGCAGATGTCACAGTTAAGTACAATTGTTACTGGATTCTGATGTTTGAAAATGCTTGAAAGAAAACACTCTCAAGATTTGCAGTCAAGAGGCAAACCTAGGGAAATTAAAAAATCAAAAATTCTTCTTTTGACGAAGGCATGCAAAATAGGCAACATTTAGATATAATACTTTATTTGTTTTACATGGAAAAAATAACTCAGCATTAACATGCAGCAGGCTTGTCTGCAGAACTTGTACTCCAGATTGGTAGATGATTCCACTGAAAACTATTTTGTGATGTTATTAACATACTTACTTGAATATTTGCCATTTTATGGTACAACAATGAATAACAAATGGCAAAGGGAAAGTTGCTCGGACATTGAAATGCCTTGTATTGCTGAATGACCTCTCAATCATCGATTTTACTAACAGCGAAAAAATGAACAGTCTGTTTAATTACTTTCTATGACAATAAAGCAGTGAAATAATTAACTAATGAATGTGCAATAAGGCATGATTTCAGAGCCACTGGATGGATCTTAATTCCCCTATTAAACTGTCTTTGCCCTTGATTATTACATGTATGACTTCACATTCACCGATATTAATTTTGCTTTTTCAACTGTGATGATAGCCAGTCAAGTCCTTCATATAAACCATCTCCACTTGTTGCACATGTAGCTTGGATGTACCATGTACGATTTCTTAAGTTGTGCAAGCCAATCTTGTCTGTTATTTCTGCAGCATTCATAGCATTGGGCAAATCCTGCAAAACAACAAAATTTCATTTCTATTTGAAAAGTGCAAGTTTTCTTTCTAAATTGAATTATGCTGTACCTCTGTCAAAAACTTCTCCACTGCTACTATAAAATTCTCAATTTCGCAAAATCCTGAAATGATCATAGCCCTAACAAACCATTTCTTATTTTCTTCAACAGGAAAACTAAATTCTCAAATCTGATTATACAAAGTCATATTTTTTATTTCATTGGATATAAAAATAAGACAGATGATAAACATAAAATAAGACTATAAAACTCCTATGCATTCCCTTGTTAACATGCTGCTCTGTTTCATTGTGCAGCAATTACCATGGAAGGGAGCTGACTGACAATTGCCTAAAGGCATGTCTTCTTGTACATTCATTTAAACTTGATGAATAACCAAGCTGACAGAAATTACAGCATGAGTTGACCTTTACAGAGCTAAGGTTAATCAAAACTTTCTAAGTCACAGCATTTGCTAATAGAAATAGATTGAGTGATTGGTGAGATAGCTATCATAGTCCCATGGTCAAGCTTAAAATTTAAGCACAAAGTAAAATTCTAGTACATGAAAAAAATAATAAAAATAAAAACAACAACAACAACAAATCCAGCTGGTTGATGAACACTCCCACTTAGATTGTATTTGCATTCAATGTTCAATTTCCCACTCCTTTATCAAATATGTCCAGAAAATAAAAAGAAACAAAAACAGTGACTAGAGGCTTAAGATATTAATCAAATATAGCCCTACTTAATACTAAAGGTGCTTTTTAAGTAATTTTTCAACTCAGCAAACAGAATTATATTACTTCATTGATAAACAGTCACATTCTTTTCATGGAATATGATTTTGCAGAAGCTCTAATCTCCTTTAGAGAACAGAGTAATTTTCAGTGCATGAAAAAGTCAGACAATTGATCAAACTGCTGAACTTGATCATTTTTACACCTACACCTCTTTCCCCAGAGTAAGGCTATTTCACTATTAGGCCACAACATCTCTTCCCTTTTGATAACTTTTAGTGATTTTGCCCCAACTACTCGAATGGGTACACAAGCCAGCCAAGACAGTGTATCATTCACTTAGCACCAATATGTCTTCAAAGTTATAGAAGATTGAGACAAAACTAATTGCTTCAAAGCCAGACACAGACACCCTTTAAAACCAGCAGGAGGAAAAAATGGGGAAGGTGTACCCCTGACCAGCACAATGGCACCATTACCAAAGTTTTAGGGTATCCCTATGTAAAATGTGGTATGCATAAATAGATCGCAGTTAATTATAGATGGATATGAATACATATAAAAGTTAAACCTGGTGTCAACATGACATATTTTTGAGACAAAATTTTGATGAAAACCAAAATTTACTATTTAATGCCACGAAGGCTGGTTGTGGAAAACTTCATCCTACAAATAATTACAATGCCACGACTCTCTGGCCCCTCACACCCATCTACAATTATCTTGCCTTTTTCCTTGAAAGTAAAAAGTTCTTAAATGCTTTATTGTTCCATAGCTCGAAGCAAAGCATTTAAATCTCGAACCGTGCTCTTAAGTGAACTGTGAAATTCTATGCACACTTATCCCGTGATCAAAATCAAAACACAAACAAATAACTATACAGTATTTCAATTTAATCCACAGGACAATTCACAAAATTATAAATGTTTCGTTTGCATTCCAGACGAAAACGAAAGATGGTAGGAAACGTTCTGAACACCAGAGGAAATTAAGTGATTGAGTGTAAGAACTGTCAGTTAAATTTTCACGATTGCCTCTCAATGAGTGCAACATTGTCATACGCGGGGAATTTGACTCTGTAAAGTACTGTCAACTAATAAACGACTAAACTTAGCCTAAAAATTAAGTGCCACGAGAGTTTATTTCCTTCTTACCTGTTTGTTGGCGAACACGAGAAGAATTGCATCTCTAAGTTCGTCTTCGTTCAACATCCTACTCAACTCTTCTCTTGCTTCACCAACTCGCTCGCGATCATTGCTATCCACTACGAAGATTAAACCTGATCACAAACGAAAAACAAAATTTAGACAGATGACTAGTAGATCAGCATAGATCAACGCACAAAGACTATTCCTTTGGATATTGCAAACCACTACGAGTAATTCAAAAACGGCAATCTGTTGAGGTACCTTGCGTATTTTGGAAGTAGTGTCGCCAAAGAGGTCTGATTTTGTCTTGGCCGCCGACATCCCACACTGTAAAACTTATATTCTTATATTCTACTGTTTCCACATTAAAACCTGCGAAGAAAAAATTCAAGATTTTGTCAAAACCCGATGTTAAACAATGAATGGAAACACGCGATAGAACGCACTGTCATGGCGTCCGCCAGAGTCGTAGTGCACATACCAATTGTAGGAATCGTTGTGACAATTTCTCCCAACTTCAGCTTGTACAGAATGGTGGTTTTCCCAGCAGCATCAAGACCAACCATAAGGATTCTCATTTCTTTCTTGCCAAAGAGACCCTTGAACAAACCACTGATCACACCACCCATGTTTCAAAGTTGATTGCTCCTCGAACGCGACTGTAAACGGCAGAGAAATCGTAGAAGAGAGAAATGAAAACGCGAAAATAAAGGAACTTGTGTTTTCCAGAGGGCCTTTTATGAGAATCAGTTACCCTTAATCGTTCTCGGCGCGAAGTACTTTGAGTATTTATGTATTCGAGGGCAAACTAGCGAATAATTGCCGGCTAAAATTCGACCACGTCGTTAACTTTGTTGAGGAAGGAAACTCGCTATCATTGGGCGCGTCACATGTGCCACGTCATTGTCTAGGATGGGGGGCTCAATACATTCCTCACTGCCTTGAACTAATGGATGAAATTCTTAACAGGAAGGGAAAGAGGTGCGGAGATTCAGGTTTGAATCGTTGATCGAGAACCTGAAAACATTATAATAATGCCCAGCTTTTGGTCAGGTGAAAGCCTTTCCTGTTTGAATTTTACAGTAATAATCCTCCTTGATTATCAATAGAGGAGGACTCGATCCATGCAACTGATAAAGTACATTTTTAGAGTAGCATATAACCCCAGACACCAAAATGGCGTCTCTAAACCTAGATTTTCTGCCCCCGCACAAATTCAATTCTCAATTCGTCATCTCCCTCCTGGCTTTCAAATGCCGAGAAGCCGGAAATGTCACGTTGTAGAGATGCAGACGTATTTCGGTTACGTTACCGTTTTTTCCACCCGGAAATACATCTGCGCTCCCAGGCAACTGTCGACCTGCTGGCTCCTTGAAGATCAGGTACTTCAGCAAGAACAAGGAAGATGCAAGAGACAAAAAGAGCCAGTGGGAGCCCCTTGTTTCTGCTATTGTCGTTATCTTTTTCATTATAGTTCTCAGTTCGTATTCGCCTCTAGCCCTCGACTCTTGTTTCTTTTGTTTACTTCTTATCAGATCTGAGGCATCCTGGACCGGCTTGTTCAGTACATTTGGCTTAACCAGCTTTCCCTCCTCCATAAGTCAGAAGCATATTTGTCAAGATGGCGGAATAAATGGTTGATACGTACACGGTTTTTAACAAGGCGAATAAAAAGACCCCTCCTCTGTCTGTTTATGGTCAAGTGAACATAGCGGACAGCACGTATGGGCCTACCTAAAATCATTAATATTATCATCATCATTATTATCATTATTATTATTATCATACAGATAATTATTATCGTAATTAAACTGAATAAATAATCGGAATATAGAAAACAATTAAAAAGGATACAAAAAGAAAAAGACATAGGAAAAGAAAAATATTTATATATAAAAAGTAATTATGCCATGTTCTCTATGTTTTTCTTTCTTTTTGAAGATGAAATACTGATGAAAGGGTACAATAGAAATAAAAGGAAATGTCATTTAGCCATTTTCTTGGCTCAGTATTGGTCAAAGGTCTCCGGAAGACAACAGTGGTTGGTGAGTTTAGAAGATTGTGCCAGCTTGATGAAATTCTCGGTACGCTTCCGCCAAAGTGAAAAATTTCTGCTCAGAGTTTAACGCTTTATGATCACGACCCTAAAAAATTACCCGCGACTGGAAAAGCCTCGCTTTCCAAGATAAAGAAAACACCTTCAAGCAATGCACCAGGGAATAGGCTGAACCAAAATATTATCAACAGGTTATAATCTAATATGGAAGCGATTCTCGCTGAGTTATGAACACCACTTAAGCTGTAGTGAAAATAATGTCAGAAAAAGAGAACAAATTCAGACATATACGGAATTTGAACCCATGATTTCTGCGATACCGGTGCAGCGCTCTACCTACTGAGCTATCGAGCCAACTGGGAGCCATTTCACAGGTTTATTTGGAACCAACTGAAACACTGGCAGTTGGCTTGTTAGCTCAGTTGGTAGAGCAGTGCACCGGTATCGCAGAGGTCATAGGTTCAAATCCTGTACATGTCTGAATCTAGTTTCACAACTGCGAGGGCCCTATATTTTCACTACATATATGATTTTCATATGAAGATTTTAGATATATGTTTACAACTGCGAGGGTCACTTCTATATTCGTTTCTTCGACTGCAGTTCACATATATGATTTTCATATATTTACAGTCATTTATTCACCACTTCATGGGTTTATTTGGAACCAACTTAATAACCAGCGCTCTACCAACTGAGCTAACAAGCCAACTGGGAACCATTTCAAAGGTTTCACAGGTTTATTTGGAGCCATCTTGAACACTGACAGTTGGATTGTTGGCTCAGTTGGTAGAGCGCTGCACCGGAATCGCAAGGGTCATGGGTTCAAATCCCGTACGTCAAACTGCGAAGATCGCTTCCATATTCGTTTCTTCAACCGCAGTTCACATATGATTTTAAAATCGTTTTATAATCTCTTGGCTGAACTCGTGTCGCTTAGTTTAAAGATACATCCTCGCGAGCTTTGATTTTTTCCTCTTCATGGAGATACAGGGTGTTACGAGAATGAATACCGCAATGATTCGGTTTAGCGTCCTCGTTCCAGGGCCTCCTATACCAATAAGAGCCCTGTTCTGTTTCTGTTTCAGGGAAGTGACTGTTAGGGTACATGTACATTGAGATCAAGCAAGGTTCACCTCCTTTAGTTGCTCATTTTAAGGCCTCATCACAAAAACAGTGGTCTTCGTCTCGATCTCTCAACTATTATGCTCAAGCGAGTGCACAGCTCCTTCAAACGAAAGATCCCGTCTTAAATTTTTTGCGACTACTACTTGCCTAGTTCTTATAGTCAGAAAGGGTCCAGGGACATGAAGTCCATTTTTTTTTTCACCACTTGTTCATTACTGCGAAGGTCGCTTTCATTTTCATTTCTTAAAACCGAAATTCACATATATGATTTTATTATATTCACATTCATGATTCGAGTAATATTTCATTCAACCTTATTGAGATATTGAGACCGCGATGGTACTTAGATATGCAATTTCCAGAGCTTTACCCTCAGAGATGTTGTTCATTAATTGTTTCATGCCAACATTAATTACTAATCACGAACACAGTGTGGTCCTAGTACCCAGACTTCTTGATAGAGTACGCTTTCGTGGCTGAGGAGGTCAACAGTAACCATCTAAGCATGTGGCAAAATCGCTTTCGTCTCCTCTCTCCTACTAGGAAATATTGCTGTCAATTTTCTCGGAATATTGTCACTGCAGAACAAGTGAGAACATTTCAGGATCAGGGTGTTATCTGCATTCGAGGTGTTTTCGGAGAATGGATCAAAAGGTTGACGAAAGGCATCGAGAGGAACTTGGCGAATCCTGGAAAATTAAGCGAGTGGCTCAAAAGTGAAAACTCAGAGACGTACTATTTTAATGATTTATTGAACTGGCAACAAATTCCAGAGTTTAAGGAGTTTGTGTTTGAATCACCAGCCGCAGAAATAGCGGGAAAGTTAATGGATGCACAGGTGAGGGTCACTCGCAAGTATTATCCACGTGTGTGTTTACAGTGATACCAAAGTGGTATTGGACTTGTCTTTTTTAGCAGTTGATAGGAGACTAAAACATTTCCATACACACATGGCATAAGGATTTGAAACGCCATCTACAGCAATGTGGATCATTAAATGAAGCATATTTGAATAATGCATGGAGCAGACTCCTGATCTTTAACCTCTTCCTTTAAAACAAGCTGGAAAGACTCGACATTTCCACTTCAATTACCCCACCCCACCGAAGCAAGGCTCAAATCCCCAACCCCTCCAGGGACAGGCAATAATTAAATGCCAATGGCTTGAGGGGATGGAGATAAGAAGCTTCTAATTGATGTGTGCATTACTCAAAATTTTTAAGTGATAGGGGTGGTGGGGGGAAGGGAGGGAGGGGCTTCTGAGGGTAATAGAATTTTGGGACAAACTGCTTAAGGTTGGGTTGAACTTATGTTATTTTATGAGGTGAGCTTGTTGGATGGAGAATTACAAATGAAATTGTAGGAATAGAAGGGTTAATGGTAATAAACTAGTAAAGGTTGAGGTGATTTTAGATTATTTTATGAGGTTTTTTGCAGTGGGGTGGGGTGGGGTTTTTCTTACCACATTTTGCTCTCTGTTTTCTGTTACTGAACAGATACACATCAAGTAGGAATATACTTATTAAATGGAAACTTGTTACTACTGACACAGACAACCATGTCTCTTACTTTTATTGATTAATTATGAATTGTAGTAGAGAAAATTTTTAATCTCAAATTTGTGATCTGTTCTCACTTTTTATAAAACACTTTTCTTGCAGTTCACTGTATTTTATCATGAGCATGTTTTCACAAAAGATCCTGGAACAACTTCCACCACTCCATGGCATCATGACCAGTCTTATTTCCCAGTGGACGGGTGGAAGGTAAAACTGAATGAATGGATAGCTTGGATAGTCTATGGACACATGATAAGAATGCCAGATTGAGAGGGTATTTACTGTGAGATGCAAAGGAATTGGAGGAAAAAGCTTGCATGGTGAAATGAAGGAAGGGGGAAATTTTACAACAATTACAGGTCTTGGATAGGATTGCCAAGGTCTTAAGTCTCTCTTTTTATGGAAAAGGGGGTCACCTTGAAAAATTCTCGTTCTTTGGCCTATCATGGAACACACCTTGAAACTAAACAAGGTCTTGCTGTAGTGAAATGCCTAGTAGGTAGATAATAATTTTAAAATGGGTAAAAATAGGTGATCATATTGATCTTATTGCTAGCACAGTAATGACATAATGGGAAAAATCCCTACAAAGTTTCCCAACAAAAATTAATTGAATGAGTTGGAAATTATTAAGGCCTATGCAGGAAGTTTAGTGAACAGTTTCAGATGGACAGAATTACGGATAAATGTCTATATCCACTCTGCTTGTAACCTCAGAAATGAGTTGGGCATGTCTTTGTTCCCACCTACCCTGTGTCTGTATGAAATAACACAAATGATGAAACATGCCATGTTTTATCACTTTTTTCTGTGAAAAATTCTTTTCTTTCCTTTCCTCTTGCTTTGGTTCAATTATCATGTCCTTAAAATTCATAGATCTCGTAAAGTACCTACTCTTTCCATAAAGAAAGGTTCTTCTTTTGTTATTTTTTCTGAACAGAACTGTTCTTTTTGGATTCCCGTTACTCCTGTATCAAAATCATCAAATTTGACTTACATTGGTGGATCCCACAAGTGGGGAAAATGGTTTAAACCTAAGAAGTTTGCATCCTTACAGAATTACAAATACACAAAGACATATAATGAAAAGGTTTTTGAAGACATCCCTGATATTGACAGCCATCCAGATGCATACAACTTGCTTTCCTGGGACCTTAAGGTTATTATTGCAGTTTTTTTGAATTGTATAAACTCAAAGAAAAAGTGATTTAGGTAGTTTGATTTGTAATTTTATTTTATATTTTTAAGGGGTATGGCACCTTAATAAATCTGGAGCTAAGGGAAGTAAAAATCAAACTTGTTTTAGGTCACTTAATATACATGTGTACTGAAAAACTTTCAGAATAAAGTGTTGTAAGAATTGTTTCATGTGGTGAACCTAACACATGACAGCTAAGTGAAAGGTGAGACTGCATAATGATTCAGATGCTAAACTTTTCATGAGCTAGAAAGGTAGATTAAGTGTGCGCTCAAGCTGAGTGACCCTTCAATTTGTAACCTTTTGTTTGATAATGATAATCTTGCACCTGCATGCACGATGAGCATAATTCATGTTTGCATGTAAAATAATATAATATGTGTAAGAAATACTGTTACCAAAATGCCAGCTTAGTAATTCCTTTTTTAACTTGCAACTAATTAATAAACTAGATTCTTAACATTTACTAACCTAAAAATTAAAAAACAAGTTTCCTTTAGAAAAATTGTCTATCTTGGTCCCAAAAAAACATCCTTTAGCTTCGTCATCTCTAGCCATGAGTTGCTTTTTTAAAAACACCCTAGTCTACCAAAGTTTTGATTTTAACTTTGTATACTTAACATTACTTGACAGCCTGGAGATTGCTTAGCATTCCACTTTCGAATCCTACATGGTGCAAAGCAGAGCACAGACCCAGATGGAAGGAAAGTGGTTGTCATGCGCTGGCTAGGAGAAGATGCAACATTTGCGGAAAGACCATGGGAACCTTATTACAGTGGAGGATTAAAACCAGGCGATCACATTTATAAAAGTGAATCTTTTCCAGTTGTTTGGAGATCAGAAAAAGCAAATTTAGTTACTTAACAAAAACTGTCATGGTTGTCTGGGGGATCCTGATTGAACAATGTTGATGACAGAAAACATCCTGGTCAGTCAACTCTTTGACCCTTGCGTGACTAGCATCTGATTTGTCTCTTCCACATCACCTCTGTATCACACATTAACCCTTTAACCCTTAAAGAGTGATTAGCAACTAATTTCTCTTATCAGTATCACCCCTAAAACAAACTTTAGGGTCATGAGAATGAAGAAAATGATCACCAACCGAAGAAATTCTTGATTCTTAAACATAAAAAAAGGTTTAGAGAACAGTAGGGAGAAAATATGTTCTGGTCAGGGTTTAACTTTTGAAATTTAAAGCGTGCTACAGATAGTAGTTTTGTTTACAGTATTCAGCTTTCTACCTATTTGTTCAAACGTGTAACATGCAAGTTTGTGTGCACACCGTCACATTACCGTGTTTATGTTTCTGCATGTACATACTACCTATTATCAAGGTTTATTTTCTGCCAAATCCTGTTTAATGTAGTTTGTGAAGTCTTCTCATACGTTCAAATTAAAGCCAATGCTTGACAGTGCGGATTTCCCACAGCTGTGAATGGAGAAGCAAGACAGTTTGTCCTGACCAAGTTGTATATTTCACGCTTGAACAACCACCAAAAGATTGAGGTGTTCACTACCCTTTGTTAGATTAGGATTTGCCACAACAAAACATGTTGATCAAAATTAAAGATTCTGATACTGAAATTATTTCAGCGATTTAAAGTATACTATATTGACAGCCAGGAAGAAAAAAAATGAGCCTTGCCAAAAGCTTACAAATTCATGCTAGAAGCTGAAAAATTATTTTGAACCCTGTTTACTGGTATAAGGATTAAAGGGTGTTTTAGTGCAGTTTTTCTTGATGCTGTAGATGATAATAAATTGATTAGCTAGCCTAATAATAAATTAGCCTATTGAGCCTAATAAAAGCTTGGTAGATAAATCAGAAGGATATGTTTTACTCAGTGTCATGCCTTTGTCTACGTCGTCCTGGCCTTTCTTCTCCTCTGTCTCTGTGCCTTGCAGCAGTTGTCCTTGATATGTCTCCATCTGATGAATCATGTCGTCTCCTGGAATATCTGTCTCTTTTATCACATGAATCACTACCTGACGATGATGAATCATGTCTCTCACGCTTAGAATTATTTTGATTAACTTTATCATGATCATGTGTTCTTTTCCTTGAATGTTTAGATTTCTTATGCTCATTATCAGCTTCTTCACTGTGGTGCTTCTTGTTTTTCTTTTCTTCCTCACTATGCCTCCTCTTTTTGTGTTTCTTTTCTTTTTTAGATTTCTTTTCTTTCTTCTCCTTCTTCCTCTTTATCTTATCACTGGCATGGTCTTCTTCTCTTTCACTCCTTAAAACTTCTCCTGTCTTTGTATTGCTTGGTGTTGCAGGATCTGCATGTCTTTCCTATAAGCATATAAGAAATATTGACAGTATGAAAAAATAGCCAGTTAAATACTCTTAAACAGAACAAAAAAGATTTTCTCATTTCAACATCCCTTGTAAAGGACTTGCTTATCTTATTTGGGTGATCTTAAAATGTAATTTTTTACAACTTTAAGCAACATATATTTAAAGATATGGTAGAGGAATGGTCTCCCCATCTCTTAGTCAAAAATGCAATATTTTTGTTCTGAGCATTAATAACATTTTTCAATAACTAAAAATTAATAATGGTAATTGAACTGAGTGGAGTGCAATTTGGGCTGAAATCATATGCATGATTTCAAAATCAAATGGGTGCGCAGCGTGAGTTTGACTTGAAATCACAAGTAAGATTTCAGACAAAAATTGCATGACATGAGGTTCAACCACTTTGTTACATCCATTTTGAAATCACCCAAATACAGGACTTGATACATTCAAATATTTTATTGATGCAGTACTGAGCTGGTCTGAAATTAAATTCATCCATTTTTTGGAGGGAAAAAGTAAGAGTTTTGGAAACAAAAGTTGCAAAATTTGCCACATGATACTCTTTGTGGGAGCCCCTTGTTTCTGCTATTGTCGTTATCTTTTTCATTATAGTTCTCAGTTCGTATTCGCGTCTAGCCCTCGACTCTTGTTTCTTTTGTTTACTTCTTATCAGATCTGAGGCATCTTGGACCGGCTTGTTCAGTACATTTGGCTTAACCAGCTTTCCCTCCTCCATAAGTCAGAAGCATATTTGTCAAGTTAAATAAAACACTTATCAAGATGGCGGAATTAATGGTTGATACGTACACGGTTTTTAACAAGGCGAATAAAAAGACCCCTCCTCTGTCTGTTTATGGTCAAGTGAACATAGCGGACAGCATGTATGGGCCTACCTAAAATCACTAATATTATCATCATCATCATTATTATTATTATTATAATTATCATATAGATAATTATTATCGTAATTAAACTGAATAAATAATCGGAATATAGAAAACAATTAAAAAGGATACAAAAAGAAAAAGACATAGGAAAAGAAAAATATTTATATATAAAAAGTAATTATGTCATGTTCTCCATGTTTTTCTTTCTTTTTGAAGATGAAATACTGATGAAAGGGTACAATAGAAATAAAAGGAAATGTCATTTAGCCATTTTCTTGGCTCAGTATTGGTCAAAGGTCTCCGGAAGACAACAGTGGTTGGTGAGTTTAGAAGATTGTGCCAGCTTGATGAAATTCTCGGTACGCTTCCGCCAAAGTGAAAATTTCTGCTCAGAGTTTAACGCTTAATGATCACGACCCTAAAAAATCAGCCGCGACTGGAAAAGCCTCGCTTTCCAAGGTAAAGAAAACACCTTCAAGCAATGCACCAGGGAATAGGCTGAACCAAAATATTATCAACAGGTTATAATCTAATATGGAAGCGATTCTCGCTGAGTTATGAACACCACTTAAGCTGTAGTGAAAATAATGTCAGAAAAAGAGAACAAATTCAGACATATACGGAATTTGAACCCATGATTTCTGCGATACCGGTGCAGCGCTCTACCTACTGAGCTATCGAGCCAACTGGGAGCCATTTCACAGGTTTATTTGGAACCAACTGAAACACTGGCAGTTGGCTTGTTAGCTCAGTTGGTAGAGCAGTGCACCGGTATCGCAGAGGTCATAGGTTCAAATCCTGTACATGTCTGAATCTTTTTCAGGCCCTATTTTCACTACTGCTTAAGTAGTGTTTACAACTGCGAGGGTCACTTCTATATTCGTTTCTTCGACTGCAGTTCACATATATGATTTTCATATATTTACAGTCATTTATTCACCACTTCATGGGTTTATTTGGAACCAACTTAATAACCAGCGCTCTACCAACTGAGCTAACAAGCCAACTGGGAACCATTTCAAAGGTTTCACAGGTTTATTTGGAGCCATCTTGAACACTGGCAGTTGGATTGTTAGCTCAGTTGGTAGAGCGCTGCACCGGAATCGCAAGGGTCATGGGTTCAAATCCCGTACGTCAGACTGCGAAGATCGCTTCCATATTCGTTTCTTCAACCGCAGTTCACATATATGATTTTACAGTCGTTTTATAATCTCTTGGCTGAACTCGTGCCGCTTAGTTTAAAGATACATCCTCGCGAGGTTCGATTTTTTTCTCTTCATGGAGATACAGGGTGTTACGAGAATGAATACCGCAATGATTCGGTTTAGCGTCCTCGTTCCAGGGCCTCCTATACCAATAAGAGCCCTGTTCTGCCGTTGCAGGGAAGTGACTGTTAGGGTACATGTACATTGAGATCAAGCAAGGTTCACCTCCTTTAGTTGCTCACTTTTAAGGCCTCATCACAAAAACAGTGGTCTCCGTCTAGATCTCTCAACTATTATGGTCAAACGAGTGCACAGCTCCTTCAAACGAAAGATCCCGTCTTAAATTTTTAGCGACTACTACTTGGCTAGTTCTTATAGTCAGAAAGGGTCCAGGGACATGAAGTCCATTTTTTTTTTCACCACTTGTTCATTACTGCGAAGGTCGCTTTCATTTTCATTTCTTAAAAACCGCAATTCACATATATGATTTTATTATATTCACATTCATGATTCGAGTAATATTTCATTCAACCTTATTGAGATATTGAGACCGCGATGGTACTTAGATATGCAATTTCCAGAGCTTTACCCTCAGAAATGTTGTTCATTAATTGTTTCATGCCAACATTAATTACTAATCACGAACACAGTGTGGTCCTAGTACCCAGACTTCTTGATAGAGTACGCTTTCGTGGCTGAGGAGGTCAACAGTAACCACCTAAGCATGTGGCGAAATCGCTTTCGTCTCCTCTCTCCTACTAGGAAATATTGCTGTCAATTTTCTCGGAATATTGTCACCGCAGAACAAGTGAGAACATTTCAGGACCAAGGTGTTATCTGCATTCGAGGTGTTTTCGGAGAATGGATCAAAAGGTTGACGAAAGGCATTGAGAGGAACTTGGCGAATCCTGGAAAATTAAGCGAGTGGCTCAAAAGTGAAAACTCAGAGACGTACTATTTTAATGATTTATTGAACTGGCAACAAATTCCAGAGTTTAAGGAGTTTGTGTTTGAATCACCAGCCGCAGAAATAGCGGGAAAGTTAATGGATGCACAGGTGAGGGTCACTCGCAAGTATTATCCACGTGTGTGTTTACAGTGATACCAAAGTGGTATTGGACTTGTCTTTTTTAGCAGTTGATGGGAGACCAAAACATTTCCATACACACATGGCATAAGGATTTGAGGCTAAACTTCAGAATACCCCGCAACTCATTTCCGCCTCACTTACATGTGTCGGGAGGCTTTGAAGATCGAGGCATAACACAATAGACGCTATTCTTATTCAATGACATGTAAATGAGTTGCGGGGTATTCTGAAGTTGCTCCGGATTTGAAACGCCATCTACAGCAATGTGGATCATTAAATGAAGCATATTTGAATAATGCATGGGCAGACTCCTGACCTTTAAACTCTTTCATTAAAACATGTGTATTAAGCTGGAAAGACTTGACATTTCCACTTCAATTACCCCACCCCACCGAAGCAAGGTTCAAATCCCCAACCCCTTCAGGCACAGGCAACAATTAAATGCCAATGGTTTGAGGGGATGGAGATAAGAAGCTTCTAATTGATGTGTGCATTACTCAAAATTTTTAAATGATAGGGGTGGTGGGGGGGGGGGGAGGGAGGGGCTTCTGAGGGTAATAGAATTTTGGGACAAACTGCTTAAGGTTGGGTTGAACTTATGTTATTTTAAGAGGTGAGCTTGTAGGATGGAGAATTACAAATGAGATTGTAGGAATGGAAGGGTTAATGGTAATAAACTAGTAAAGGTTGAGGTGATTTTAGATTATTTTATTAGGTTAACTTTTCTTAATGGGGGCAAACTGGGGGTAGAATTGCAGTGGGGTGGGGTGAGGTTTTTCTTACCACATTTTGCTATCTGTTTTCTGTTACTGAACAGATACAAATCAACTAGGAATATACTTATTAAATGGAAACTTATTACCACTGACACAGACAACCATGTCTCTTACTTTTATTGATTAATTATGAATTGTAGTAGAGAAAATTTTTAATCTCAAATTTGTGATCTGTTCTCACTTTTGATAAAACACCTTTCTTGCAGTTCACTGTATTTTATCATGAGCATGTTTTCACAAAAGATCCCGGAACAACTTCCACCACTCCATGGCATCATGACCAGTCTTATTACCCAGTGGATGGGTGGAAGGTAAAACTGAATGAATGGTAATGAGTAATAACTGTAATGACATAATGGGAAAATTCCCTACAAAGTTTCCCAACAAAAATTAATTGAATGAGTTGGAATTTATAAGGGCTATGCAGGAAGTTTAGTGAACAGTTTCAGATGGATAGAATTATTGATAAATGTCTATTTCCCCTCTGCTTGTAATCTCAGAATGAGTTGGGCATGTCTTTGTTCCCACCTACCCTGTGTCTGTATGAAATAACACAAATGATGAAACATGCCATGTTTTTTATCACTTTTTTCTGTGAAAAATTATTTTCTTTTCTTTTCTCTTGCTTTGGTTCAATTATCATGTCCTTAAAATTCATAGATCTCGTAAAGTACCTACTCTTTCCATAAAGAAAGGTTCTTCTTTTGTTATTTTTTCTGAACAGAACTGTTCTTTTTGGATTCCCGTTACTCCTGTATCAAAATCATCAAATTTGACTTACATTGGTGGATCCCACAAGTGGGGAAAATGGTTTAAACCTAAGAAGTTTGCATCCTTACAGAATTACAAATACACAAAGACATATAATGAAAAGGTTTTTGAAGACATCCCTGATATTGACAGCCATCCAGATGCATACAATTTGCTTTCCTGGGACCTTAAGGTTATTATTGCAGTTTTTTTGAATTGTATAAACTCAAAGAAAAAGTGATTTTTAGGTAGTTTGATTTGTAATTTTATTTTATATTTTTAAGGGGTAAGGCACCTTAATAAATCTGGAGCAAAGGGAAGTAAAAATCAAACTTGTTTTAGGTCACTTAATATACATGTGTACTGAAAAACTTTCAGAATAAAGTGTTGTAAGAATTGTTTCATGTGGTGAACCTAACACATGACAGCTAAGTGAAAGGTGAGACTGCATAATGATTCAGATGCTAAACTTTTCATGAGCTAGAAAGGTAGATTAAGTGTGCACTCAAGCTGAGTGACCCTTCAATTTGTAACCTTTTATTTGATAATGATAATCTTGCACCTGCATGCACGATGAGCATAATTCATGTTTGCATGTAAAATAATATTATATGTGTAAGAAATACTGTTACCAAAATGCCAGCCTAGTAATTCACTTTTAACTTGCAACTAATTAATAAACTAGATTCTTAACATTTAGTTTAACCTAAAAATTAAAAAACAAGTTTCCTTTAGAAAAATTGTCTATCTTGGTCCCAAAAAAACATCCTTTAGCTTAGTCATCTCTAGCCATGAGTTGCTTTTTTAAAAACACCCTAGTCTGCCAAAGTTTTGATTTTAACTTTGTATACTTAACGTTACTTGACAGCCTGGAGATTGCTTAGCATTCCACTTTCGAATCTTACATGGTGCAAAGCAGAGCACAGACCCAGATGGAAGGAAAGTGGTTGCCATGCGCTGGCTAGGAGAAGATGCAACATTTGCAGAAAGACCATGGGAACCTGCACCCAATTACAGTGGAGGATTAAAACCAGGCGATCACTTTTATAAAAGTGAATCTTTTCCAGTTGTTTGGAGATCAGAAAAAGCAAATTTAGTTACTTAACAAAAACTTTCATGGTTGTCTGGGGGTCCTGATTGAACAATGTTGATGACAGAAAACATCCTGGGCAGTCAACTCTTTGACCCTTGCGTGACTAGCATCTGATTTGTCTCTTCCATATCACCTCTGTATCACACATTAACCCTTTAACCCTTAAGAGTGATTAGCAACTAATTTCTCTCATCAGTATCACCCCTAAAACAAACTTTAGGGTCATGGGAATAAAGGAAATGATCACCAACCGGAAAAATTCTTGATTCTTAGACATAAAAAAAGGTTTAGAGAACAGTAGGGAGAAAATATGTTCTGGTCAGGGTTTAACTTTCAAAATTTAAAGCGTGCTACAGGTAGTATTTTTGTTTACAGTATTCAGCTTTCTACCTATTTGTTCAAACGTGTAACATGCAAGTTTGTGTGCACACCGTCACATTACCGTGTTTATGTTTCTGCATGTACATACTACCTATTATCAAGGTTTATTTTCTGCCAAATCCTGTTTAATGTAGTTTGTAAAGTCTTCTCATACATTCAAATTAAAGTCAATGCTTGACAGTGCAGATTTCCCACAGCTGTGAATGGAGAAGCACGACAGTTTGTCTTGACCAAGTTGTATATTTCATGCTTGTACAACCACTGAAAGATTGAGGTGTTCACTACCCATTGTTAGATTAGGATTTGCTGCAACAAAACATGTTGATCAAAATAGAGATTCTGATACTGAAATTATTTCAGCAATTTAAAGTATACTATATGTACACCATATTGACAGCTGGGAAGAAAAAAATGAGCCTTGCCAAAAGCTTACAAATTCATGTTAGAAGCTGAAAAATTATTTTGAACCCTGTTTACTGGTATAAGGATTGAAGGGTGTTTTAGTGCAGTTTTTCTTGATGCTGTAGATGATACTAAATTGGTTAGCTAGCTGAGCCTAATAAAAGCTTGGTAGTTAAATCAGAAGGATATGTTTTACTCAGTGTCATGCCTTTGTCTACGTCGTCCTGGCCTTTCTTCTCCTCTGTCTCTGTGCCTTGCAGTAGTTGTCCTTGATATGTCTCCATCTGATGAATCATGTCGTCTCCTGGAATATCTGTCTCTTTTATCACATGAATCACTACCTGACGATGATGAATCATGTCTCTCTCGCTTAGAATTACTTTGATTAACTTTATCATGATCATGTGTTCTTTTCCTTGAATGTTTAGATTTCTTATACTCATTATCAGCTTCTTCAGTGTGGTGTTTCTTGTTTTTCTTTTCTATCTCACCATGCCTCCTCTTTTTGTGTTTCTTTTCTTTTTTAGATTTCTTTTCTTTCTTCTCCTTCTTCCTCTTTATCTTATCACTGGTATGATCTTCTTCTCTTTCGCTCCTTAAAACTTCTCCTGCCTTTGTATTGCTTGGTGTTGCAGGATCTGCATGTCTTTCCTATAAGCATATAAGAAATATTAGGAAAAATTGACAGTATGAAAAAATAGCCAGTTAAATACTCTTAAACAGAACAAAAAAGATTTTCTCATTTCAACATCCCTTGTAAAGGACTTGCTTATCTTATTTGGGTGATCTTAAAATGTAATTTTTTTACAACTTTAAGCAACATATATTTAAAGATATGGTAGAGGAATGGTTTCCCCATCTCTTAGTCAAAAATGCAATATTTTTGTTCTGAGCATTAATAACATTTTTCAATAACTAAAAATTAATAATGGTAATTGAACTGAGTGGAGTGCAATTTGGGCTGAAATCATATGCATGATTTCAAAATCAAACAGGTGTGCAGTGCAAGTTTGACTTGAAATCACAAGTAAGATTTCAGACCAAAATTGCATGATACAAGGTTCAACCACTTTGTTACATCCATTTTGAAATCACCCAAATACAGGACTTGATACATTCAAATATTTTATTGATGCAGTACTGAGCTGGTCTGAAATTAAACTCATCCATTTTTTGGAGGGAAAAAGTAAGAGTTTTGGAAACAAAAGTTGCAAATTTGCCACATGATACTCTTTGTCTTTCATTTTCCTGCAATTTGATCAGTTACTTTAAACAAGCCTTAAAACAATCTTTAAACAAGCTTTAAACAATCTGATTGGTTGTTTTGTTTTTCGTGTAGCCTCCTCATTGGCTGGGAAAAAAATGTGATTTAAAGCAAAAAATGGTGCAATTCATGAATAAATTGCATCAATTAGAGCCAATCAGATTATGGGACCGCCAATGATTTCAAAATGGGTGTAATAAACAGGAAAATCAAACTTGACCTGTCATTAGACTTGTAGGTAATTGAAGTATAAAAATAATTCATTATAATGCCCGCAAGAACTACACCTGTTGTGATCCTGTGGCACTCAGTGTCTCCTTCATGGGTGCAGACAGCCCAGCTACAAGAGAAGCTCTTGTGCTGATGAGAAATAAAATGATACACAAAAGGTTTGAAGACATTTTTTCTTTACCCTTCAACCTCTAAGAGTGACTGGCATTAAGTTTCTCTTAATATATCACCCCTGAATCAAACATTGAGGTAATACCTTCCAAATCCCATGCCTTGAACCCTTTCAATGTCCATTGAGTCACGTTCCACTTGACCCTTGCGACATACTTCAGCCAGTTCCTGGTGAAAGTGATGTTTTAAAGTTAAGAAGCTGTTACTAAAAAATTATACATCAGTGGTCACTTAATTTTTAGGGGTGTGTCTTACATTTAGCAGCTCAGTCTACAGCAGCTTAAAATACACGTTTAATTCAGGTAAAATGATCTTGAATCAACTTAAGTAATTAACTGCTCTTGTGACAAGAAGTGCAAGTTGACAGAGTCATTATTCTCTTGGGAGGAGAGTCACTGTGTGATTTAAGAGTAACACCAAAATACACAACCGCAACTGGCACTGACCCTGGACTTCTCAATGTAAATTGACCAACTTTTTGGCAGAGGTAATTTAAAGCTGATGAGCAGTTTCGAGGAAAGATTTAAAATTTAAATACATCTCCATGTAACATACGACTGTCAGTACTAGTCAAGTGTAACATATTAATGGCCTCAGAATATTTAGATCTTAGTAACCTGTTTTGAAACACCACTTGCTACTTTCTTGCTTGGTCCTCTCCCTCTAAAGAAGAAAAAAATGCATTCCATTTGAATTACGGGTAGTCTTTTGAAAGCCGCAAAATACTGAACCAATGAATATATAGCAAGTTACGTGACCAGTCTGATTGCAGCATTATTTTGTGGTAGAAAACTAATAATATTATACCAGTAAATAATTATTCCACTGCTCCTCAGCTCAAAAACACCTCATATCTAACATGCGCTGCATTGATACATTCCAGTAAGGGCTGTGGACATCCGACTTGGTAATTTACCATACATGAAAAAATTAACATGCTGAAGTGGTATTCTTAGCAAATTTATATAATAGATTAAATAAAAATAATAATAATTCAATATGCAATTACATGTTGTCTTACAGTGCTATTGCAAGTGCTTCAGCTTCCATTCTCTTAACTGCATCTTTTTCCTATAGATTTAAAATAAAAAGTCAGAAAACTGTTATTAACCATTTCACTCCCAAGATCTGATTGTTAATTCTCCCCTCTAGCTGCTAAACATTTCCTTGTAAATTAGTTGCAAGAATTTGGTGTTAGATCAAGATAACAACTTCTACCTGATACATTTGAATATTCTCATTACCTGTTTGCTGGAGAGTGGATGGATGTTGAAGGGAGAAGTTACATGTGAATCACTTCTGGAAGTTAAAGGGTTAAAGCTAATTTTGACTGTTTAGTGCACAACATTTATAAGACAAATAACACCAATTTGAATGAAAGTCAATACAATTTCAAAATATTTGATTAAAATAGTTTCTTTTTTAAAATCTTCACCAAAGACAGTCTTTTGTAATCAATGCAAAATAATTCCTCTCCACCCTTTAGCTCCCAAAAGTGATTAACAGGTAACTTCTCCTTATGATTTCCATACCTTATTCAGGAAACAGATTATGAGAATTAACCCAAACTTATTTGGTAAGAGTTATCTTGATCTAATACCAAATTCTTATGACTCATCTACAAGGAAATGTGAAGCAGCCGGAGGGAAGAATTAATAATCAGATCTTAGGAGTGTAAGAATTAACCACCAATTTTTACTTAGCTGCTTATCATTAAATCAATTGTTTTTGTAACCATTTTAGTGATAACTGTTACAGTCATTGGTCCATTACCTCTTGCTTTGACATTCCTGAGTTTCCTTTACCACTTTTTGTATACCTGAAATATAAAATAGTGTATTGCTGTTTTTAAAATCATACTGCTTGGTTATTCTATGACCATTTAAAAATTGCACATTTTTACAGTACATGTACGTTGTAAACTATACAAGTTCATGTGGAATATTTACCCATGATATATATTTTCCTAAATATATTCTCTAGGGATTGGTGAGAATTGTTAAATAAGTAAGTAATGCTAGGGTAACATGTTGCATTCTCAGTCTACATATTGTGAAAATCATCTCATTAGAGGTATTCTGATTTCTCAATTGACAACTTACATACCCAATGAAGATATTGCAAGTAGTTATGAAGCTTACCAGCTACTGATTCCTAAATATGACTTTGTGATGCTAAACATATTACCCTTTTCACATGTTCATCCTAATAATAAACTGTACAACCATATTAAAGGATGCTCCACAGGGTTTCTGATAGAGCAAGGTTTGGACACTAACATACCACAAGCTTTAAATATGTCAAAAAGCAAAACAAAAGCAGAGACTTGATGTCATTATAGCACAATTGTTATCTAACAAGGTGTATAAAACAACTCAGTTTTTATCTAGGATTCCCAGTAATAGAACCTGTAATATCCATTCACCTTCTACATCAGAAAAAATTTAAATATGGGTAGACAGAAAAGAAAACACCAGGGGAAAGATTGTAAAAAGGGGCAGATTCAAAAATATATGCATGCTCAGATATTGATCATGGCAAAGTTCTCTTTTATGACATAATATATAAGGGGTAAGAAAGAGATCTTCCAAGTGAGATTCATCATGTTTCCTTGAGCTCTGGTATAATTTCCAAAGATTTGGTTTAGCATTTGGCATATTAGTGCTCTTCATATTGCAAACTAATGAAAAAACAATCAGATTCAACTGTTATTTTATTAAAGTGAGCAGCACGATCATGGGAAATAGATGGCAAATTTTACTGGTCTCCAGCTCTTGTTGAAAAGCCTATAAGCTCTGGCTGAAAATGACTCAGTCTTACAAGAGCCAATAAAACAACATCCTTAGTTTGTAAACGGTATTAATGGTAGTTACCAGTGTAGATCTTTTCCCTTTTGCCACCTTCCTACAGGAGCCTTAACCGAATGACCTATGGTCAAAAACACAGAGTAAAATATTAATACATTACGTACAAGAAATTTAACATTCCACAAAGTTAACCTTGTATAAACGTAGTCTAAAATTGTGATTAGTCTCCGCAAATTACATGTAAGTTGAAAATACTGGAGTCAAAATTGATATTCTTTTCCAACTGAATCAATGAAAAATAATTTATTTATCATGCTCATGGATTCAAAAGAGTTGCATAGAAAGGTCCGTGATCACCTTATTTAATATCGATGTTTTGTGACAATGTACCATCGAATAGAGGTCAATGTAACCTTTCACTTACCCAAGTAACTTTCTCGGTGCTTGTCGAGCTTTACATCTTCCCAATCAAACTGATCTTGTCCACCGCGAACTCCGCCTCTTGATGGATGATACATTGTGCTGGCGTTACTTTTGCAAAAGAAACTCGACGACTTGATCAATCAATTCTAAGCCAAGAAGTTTGAAAACATTAAAACAGCCGCCATCTTGGTAGTATGCTTTAGTCCCCAGGTTACCGCGGTTATGAAAGGCAAGCATTGATGGTAGTTCCTAAAGAAACTGTGGTGCTGCGTCGGTGGGAGAGTATAACAGAGTAATTAAGTATTATTAAATGAGGAAATGGGATCAAAAACTTACTAGCAGGGAACAAATCTGGGTTTCTGGCAATCACATAATTATTGTCTTAGATCAAACACTTAGACAAATGCCAGTAGTTGAAAGAAATAGTTATAAAACTGAGGTGAACTACCGAAGATCTGTCTCGCTCACTTTCACTGGAGAGGAATTCTTTTTGTCTGAGCGAAGCGCAGAATGTTAGTGATTGTGAACATGAGTGCGAAAATAAAGGGTACACTGAAAAAAATAAAACAATTATTTGAAAAAAAAACAGTTAAAATATGGATGGAAATTATGCCTAGAATAAGGTCAGACTGCTATGATTTAATTTCATTCAGGCATTATTTCTCATGTCTCGTGCTAAATTAAGAATTATGTGTCTTTAAAAACTTGCTGCATCCAGTTGCGCAAGAACGCACGTATATCCCGTCCGGGAAAATTATTTCTAATCAACTTCTGGCCGCAAAAATAATAAGATTCACAGCAGTTTATAGAATTTGGGTTTCTCCTTATTCAAAATTCTCTGAAACGTGCGTCGAATACAAAGTGCGCTGATTCATTCAGATTTTGTTTATAATTGTTAATTACTCAAAGTGGTAGCATTAGAGTTAAAGGAAGCAAGTGATTGTCGGACATACTGATACTTCTGTTGGATTTTCTAGCACGTCCTTTGGCGCTGTTCCTGACAATTACAGCTGAAGCGTGGCGTCGAATTTTCCTCAATTCAAGCCAAATTTCACTTTCTGAAAAGATCGTTCACTTTTTGTTTTCTTTGGGGGGAAATGCGTCAGAAATAAAATAAGAGAAAATAATAGTTGTGTGTCGGCACTGCCGGGTTTCAAGGCGGAGTACATTAGTCTAAAGAAAATGGAAAATTCCGTAGGAAACGATGTGCGCTTTTTGACGTCTAAGTGGCTTCCTTTTGCAATACCTGCTGGCGGTATTTTCAATCACCCACCAAGATCCACCTGCTCCGAAAACTACAACGCATCATTGAAGTGGACTGGTCACGTTTCCTTGCCAATAATTTATCAGACTTCTGGATTCATCGCTTAGCAGATAAGCGGTCGCAAAGCGTCCAATCGACATGCTACTCTGATACCATCTATCATCGTCTTCTCAAAACACATTTACTACGTAGTTCGGCCTGATTTCGCAAGTATCATTTTTCATTCAAAAATTCTTTATTCCTTCTGTCTACCCAAGATACACGATTCAGAGCTTCACGTTAAGTTGCGTTGACACATTTCCTCGATAGTATGAAGTTTCATTAAGAAAACCATTATACATTGAAATAATTATGCTGCCTCAAAACCTTTCCATTTAAAACCTTTTAGCTCCTTTTGACAAACTTGTTTTGTTAACCTAGGCCAGTGAATATTAAAAATAAAACATTGAAATTTCGGTTTATATTTACGTCTGATCTGAAGGAAGCGACAAAAGGGAAGATCAGTCATGCTTTATTGAAAAACTTGGCACAAATGTGTCGCAGACCATCACATGAATAAATTTTCGTAATTACTAGAATTTTCAAGAGACTTTTCGTTTTGAAAAAAGGCATAATTTTTTTTTCTTCTTTGGAATTGTGCAGAACATGAATATTCTAACAACCTTCCTGCGCGATCTATTTCCACCTATGACTGACTATTTACATGGTATTTAAGTGACTCTGACTTAATCTGATTCGATTTCAGTTTCCCCATTATGTCTAACCTCTGGGGTGGAAATTTTATCGAACGATACTTAGGAAGTCTGGCCAAGTCGCCGTTGATTGGTTCTCTGCGGATGATTTGTCCCCTAGAGGATATGTCATAGCTATATTAATCCGGTTGCTATTGGCGACTGCTTGGTCATGTGGTTTTATGCCCGCGTAACATAAAAACAAATACAGAGCGAGTCACACAATCGATTTAAATTTGAGCGCTCGCCAATGTATTGCCACCTGCCACATTCAGTTTTAAGTCGTTTCTTGTAGCGCGCACGGCAGTCCAACGAGGAGCAAGATACCACGTATCTGTGAACCCGTGGCTTGGCAGAATACACGCTTCATCCGTTGTTTTTAACGATGGGAGCAACCCTTTCCATTAATAGGAAAGATCTGCTACACGAGTATTCCATATGGAATATCAAAGCTCGCGAGAGTGGCAAGTCCTACCACTGTAAGTGTTGTTATCATGTTAACAGCGACATTCACAGTAAAGAGAACAAGGCGCCTCAAACAACCTGCGATGCCGTGGCCGCGTACCTCCACAAATGCGCTAATGTGGGCAAGAAGAAGATGAAATCGAAGATCGAACCAGCACCTTCTAAATCAAGCAAGTTTAAGGAAACTGAAACGCAAAAAAGCGATCCAGCTCCGCCGCTCCTCGCACAAACCCAAGAAATTAACCTGCCAATCAAGACGACAGACTCCATGCAAGTTGTCAGCCAAGGTGTTGATATCCCTCCAGCGAATCCTAAACTACCGATTTCGCAGTCGTTTCTGATCAGTAGCGACGCTCTTCGCTGTCTGGGAAATTTCGTCCGCTGCCATTGTAAGAATCTAACTCGCTTCCGTGCATCGGAGGTAATTTTATGGCTGCGAGGAGTTGATAGGGCGTTACTACTACAAGGCTGGCAGGATCAAGCTTTCTTGACACCACCCAATCTTGTGTTCTTATTTATGCTGCTAAAGGAAAGTCTGTCGGATAAAATCCCTAATCCAGCCCAGTTACGCGCTGAAATTTTAACATGCCTGTACATGGCTTACACATACAACGGCCCCGAAATAAGCTATCCTTTAAAACCTTTCCTTGTGGATGGAGACAGGAGAGCTTTCTGGGACCGGTGTATGCTTATAACAAACAACCTGAGCGAGAAAATGCTTCAAATGAACAGAGAGCCGAAATTTTTTGGCGAACTCTTGGTCGAACTGAAAAACTATGGTGGATCGTCTATAACTGACAGACGAGATGGGTAGAATTAATACGCAATGCCCTTTGCTTTCTGAAAATCAAATGGTCTCCTGCTTAAAAAAAAAATAGGTGTAAATAATTTTCTTGACCGAAAAAAAAAAAGATTGGACAAAGCTTTCGGGCCGGCGTTCCAAGTAAAATAGTATATTTCAATTTCAGAGGCTGCTTGCTAATTAACTATGCGCGTCGCTTTCATCAAAACTAAACTTCCCTCTGTTTTAGAATATTGCAGCTGATTTTATGGAGTTCATAACTTATTCAGCGCATCTTAGCATTGAAAAATTACAATAGCTCTGTAAACAACTCGTTTATTTTACAACTGGCATTTCGACCTTCGATGGATTTTATATATTCTCTTTTGTTAATTTTTCCGGACAAATATGGAAGCTCGAACTCGATAATCTTCGCGGTCAAGGATAAAGAACTGGAAAATACATCTGCGGTTTTTATTGCTTATAAATATGAGATGAAAGTCAAGCTTTGCCCAGAAAACGTGCCCGCGGTGTGGAATTAGGTGAGAAAGTTCCTTTTTAAGGAACACGAGTTTCGTGCGTTGAAAAGCAGAATTTATGGCAAAAAATCGCCCATCAATCAAAATGTAAAATTCAGATTTTATTCAACACAAAAGAAAATGATCATTAAAATGTTTATTTATAACATAACATCTGTTCCTTGGGGTTATTGCTATCAGAAGGTTCAAAAAAAAATGAGAAACTCTTGATTCTAACAATATAAATGATCTGAATAATTGTTTGGCTTCCTTCCATTACAGATGTCAGTTATTAGGAAATCAATGCACGTTTTCAGCTCAACGCTACTTCAGGAAAGGAGTGAATTTTTTTTAACGAGCAAAAGATTCCCACATCAGTTACCTCTGCGCGTGATCTTGCCGTCAATTCCATTATTTTTCCGCGCGCAATCATTGCAAAATAATTTCTTCCTTCGAAGTCAAACGAAAAAATAGTTAGTCTATTCAATTTTTCACAAAGAAAAACGTCAAAATCTAAACTCCAATCGTGGGAAATAACCGGTTTCTTCAGGAAATTACGAAATCTCTTAATTTTGACTGCCTCTGATGTTTCGGTATTAGAAATTGAAACCAATGAATCTTCCCGAGAAACCCCCATTTTTTAGCACTAATTTCCTGCTCGGTCTCATTTACGACACGCAGACTGTCATTTTTAATGGATTCCTGCGAAACAGTAGTTTGAAATTGGAGAATAATGTGCGGATTTCTTCTTTAGTTGCCAGATTATTTGCTCGTTTCGTGCAGATGAAAATCTATGCTCTAGGTTATATATTTAGCTTAAGACATTACTTTCTATAGTTCGGTATCATTACGCATTGAGTTTGCTTTCAGGTCCTGTGCAAATCATCATTGCTTTTACTAAAAAAGAATCATATATTTAACGCTTCCAGCAATTCGTGATAAAAGCGAATGTTAATTTCATTATTTCGCGGATTTTCAAGAACCTCTGTGGCTTTGCGGTGTTGAAATTTACGATAAAGTGCCAAAGCATTTTCCGGCCACATTCTCCGGGTAAAAAGCGAAATGGGAGCCAGTTCTTGTTCCCTTCAGAAATACCAGCAGAGCATATATCAAAGGATATTTTGGAATTTATTCTGCTCGGTTTTTTTCAACAATTAATCAATGTTGAGGGTGACAAAGCTTGTTGTTTAAAGCCAAACCGTACACTCGGCCGGCTTTTTGTCAAAGTTTAGAGTATATTGAAATAAAACTGTCTATCTCACTGCTGCTCTCTTTTCAACTTAGTTCAAATTTGTCGCGTCCAAGCATTTAATTTTTGGATTTGTTTTGAAACAGTCTGAAAAATTTATTAGCAGTTCCTAATCTACGAATAGAAATCATTCTGCTTTTCTGTTGCTTATAGCTGAGAATCGTTTTTAAAACTTAAAAAAAATACGGAAATTAAGCGAGTGGTTTTTTTCTTTGCAAATGAAAATACGAAAAAGTAGTAAAACTTGGTGAGAGCCTTAAGAACGTAATGGAAACTCAAGTGTTAGATGTGATTATGAACTGACAGTGTCCGTTTGTAACATGGCACACAAGATCAAAAATTATCTTTTTTCGATCTCAACAATGATCGATAAAAATCATTCCGGAATCGTCTAACTAATTGAACTGCAAACTAACAACAACAACAATAACGATTTCTAAGCCTGGATAAGATCCTCGCCAAATGTTATAGACAAAACTGAAAAAGCTAAAACAACATTCATTCTCGGTGAATATTTTTCTCGATATGCTTTAACTATGCACCGAAAAGAAAATCTATTTCGAAATCAGTGACATCGGCGACTTTTCGAATGTTTTATGCACGTGGAATGGAATTTATGCAGTTCATGCTCATTGTATTTGAATGTTTAATGCACATTGTGATTTGGTGTACTAGCTTTCGTTTCTAAAAATTCAGACGACATCATCCTAAGACAGCTCAGTTCCATTTTTAGAAGCTAGTTATGCCTGAAATGTTATCTGTTGGCAAATGCAAACAAAGAAGAAATACAAAGCTTGATTAAAAGTGTTCTTTCGTTGTTATGCATTAGCCGGCAATCGGAGTACTTTAAAACCACGAGAATGCTTCAAAAAGAGAAAGAACTCTTCAAAAAAAACAGCAGAAAGCAATTTCCTTGCAAAAATGGAGTCATTAGGCCGACTGAAACGAAAACATTTTCAAAAAGCCCATTACTGAAATGGAAACCTCATTGTTTTGCTCAGTTTTTAATTGACAATGACGAAGGCTGAATAAGCTTGATTGGGCAAAATACTTTTCGGAATTTAATAAAAATGAAACAGCAATTACGACAGAGGAAGACTTTTAGAATAAATGTCATTTCCGCTACTTTGAAAATCCCCCAGCGTTTTTCAACCGCAATTAAAAATTAGATATGAGTGG